CAGCGCTTCATAGTACAAATGGACAATGACCCAAAACATACTGCAAAAGCAACCCAGGAGTTTTTGAAGTTAAAAAAGTTGATTATTCTGCAATGGCCAAGTCAATCTCCTGATTTCAACCTGATTGAGCATGCATTTCACTTGCTGAAGACAAAACTAAAGGCAGAAAGACCCACAAACAAACAACAACTGAAGTCAGCTGCAGTAAAGGCCTGGCAAAGCATCACAAAGGAGGAAACCCAGTCTCTGATGTCCATGAGTTCCAGACTTAAGGCAGTCATTGCCTGCAAAGGATTCTCAACAAAATATTAAAAATGAACATTTTATTTATGATTATATTTATTTGTCCAGTTACATTTGAGCCCCTGAAAATCTGCACTTTCTTTTTTTATCTTGTTCGTTTTATTTTAATTCTATTCTGTATGCCACCATTGCGGGAAGTCGTGGCCTAATGGTTAGAGAGTCGGACTCGTAACCCAAAGGGTGTGGGTTCGAGTCTCGTACCGGCAGGGATTGTAGGTGGGGGGGGTGAATGTACAGCGCTCTCTCCCACCTTCAATACCACGACTGAGGTGCCCTTGAGCAAGGCACCGAACCCCCAACTGCTCCCCGGGCGCCGCAGCATAAATGGCTGCTCACTGCTCCGGGTGTGTGTTCACGGTGTGTGTGTTCACTGTGTGTGTATGCACTAAGGATGGGTTAAATGCAGAGCACTAATTCCTAGTATGGGTCACCATACTTGGTCACATGTCACGTCACTTATACAGAGCTGAAATTATGAAAATTGTGTCAGTGTCCAAATATATATGGAACTAACATATGTATGTATGTATTTCTAATCTATCTCTAAATTAAAATACTAAAAAGTTCTAATAAAGCATTAGAGGCTCTAGATAAAATAAAAAAACAAACAAAAAAACGCACAACTATCAATAATTAAATCCATAGCTAAAAATCAGCAACTACTGTAATCAAAGAACATACGGTTCCTAAAACTTCTAGAATCACAGAACAAATTGTAGTTAATACATATATTTAGGCACAGGTTAATAAAAAAAAAGGTTTGAAAAGCTGTTTTGTCATAACTGCAGAACATATTGGAACTATTTTTAGCATATACTGAGAGGGATATTGAGTGACACAATAATGAATATTGTGTTGGAGATGCTGAAGATACTAAGTGCAGCTCTTGAACATGATTATTCACAGGACTTATATAGGTATTCACAGGACAATAGGTATACAACAAATAACTGTCCTGAAAATTCTCTCACTCTTAAAAACCTTAAACAAAACTATGCAAGAAAAGTTCAACCAAAAATTAAACTTCTCTCATTATTTAAATCACCTCCATCTCATTTCTTGGCTCACCACTAAATGTCCAATGTAAAATCAAGATCCTGAACCACTGGACTACTCTAATCATAGGTCGGTTGCGGGATGACTAGTTGACCATTCAAAACAAACAAAAAAACGCACAACTATCAATAATTAAATCCATAGCTAAAAATCAGCAACTACTGTAATCAAAGAACATACGGTTCCTAAAACTTCTAGAATCACAGAACAAATTGTAGTTAATACATATATTTAGGCACAATGCTCTCTTCTGTTAATAAAAAAAAAGGTTTGAAAAGCTGTTTTGTCATAACTGCAGAACATATTGGAACTATTTTTAGCATATACTGAGAGGGATATTGAGTGACACAATAATGAATATTGTGTTGGAGATGCTGAAGATACTAAGTGCAGCTCTTGAACATGATTATTCACAGGACTTATATAGGTATTCACAGGACAATAGGTATACAACAAATAACTGTCCTGAAAATTCTCTCACTCTTAAAAACCTTAAACAAAACTATGCAAGAAAAGTTCAACCAAAAATTAAACTTCTCTCATTATTTAAATCACCTCCATCTCATTTCTTGGCTCACCACTAAATGTCCAATGTAAAATCAAGATCCTGAACCACTGGACTACTCTAATCATAGGTCGGTTGCGGGATGACTAGTTGACCATTCCAAGTAATTCCACTGAGTATATTATTCAGTATGGTATAGATCAAAGCACTGTGGTTTTACCACAATATACCATCAAAGTACCACCTCAGAATAAGTGTTGTTCAATATGATTAACAGGAAGATTATCCTTTGGCAAAACTGCTATAAATTCTGTGTGGCTGAATAAAGTGGTTAGACTAATATAGGAACAACTGGAGGTTGTGGGAAGGGTGATCAGCGGTGCTGCATCCCGCTGATCTGAGAGCTGCTGCTGAAATTGTGCTGAGGGGGTGGAGCTAACACAGAGTTTTAGCCGGGTTAATCGAGGTGCAGAGATCTGCTCTTCATCACACTTCTTCCTCAAGTTAAGAAGCTCTGCTCTGCTGGGTTACTTGTGTGAGTGTAAAACCAAAGACACACACGTGCTAACCACTGTGCAATGCATTGTTAGAAGAGTTAAGACATTCTCTCACCTGCTATTCAGTAAACACAAACAACCAAGCACATACATGCACATACATAGACTCACATTCTTCAGATTCTCATTAGCACTCCCACACACACACACAAAGCAAAATATATCTGACAGTAGCAGAACTGAAGAGGCAGAGCTGTTCTTTGCGACATATATGTCCCAAGAGCTATGAAAAGATTGGTCTGCTTTCACTCCCTGCAGGTGTGATACTTTTTTTCCTCTCATTTACCCTGCAGCATATGCTGCCTTCAGGTGCACTTGGGAAACTTCAATGGATGTCACATATGAACATCATGTGTTCAAGTTGGAAACGTAACAGAATTAGCCAAACAATTATATTCTAAACCTTAAAAACAAAACTACACCTGAAAATTATGAAAATTTCTAGGGATGCACGATATTATCGGACCAATATCGGAATCGGCAGATAATGGCTTTAAAATGTAAATATCGGCATCATCCCGATATGAAAAATTATGCCGATATGTCTTGCCGATAAGAGGAATACATTAACTCACATGTGCTCAGGGTGTGCTAGCGATTAGATCATGTCAGCAGTGTGGCTCATTCTTGAAGCAAAGTTTTGCCTGAATGATGATTAGAATCACGGTTTTGGATCACTGCATTTAAACTGAGAATACACATACAGAATGATGCGTTCGGTGTGTGATAGAGTAAACAGTAATAGCACGTGCAGTGGCAGCAGTGGCAGCCTCCCCCAGGTCCTAATGCCATTCGGAAAAAAGTTTTAATTTCATAGGGGGCGCTGTTGTCCTACTTCTAATTAAATGGAAGCAAAATACACAAATAATATTTAGACCGTGTTTCTGATTAAATAAAGAAGTAATTGATGCCATAAAATCATGAGTATGTTTTGATTTAAAGGTCAGAAGCTATGGCTTACATGAACAAAAAAAAATCACAAACATGACACTTAAATTAAAAAAATTTATATATACTGATTTATTTATTCATGTGTAATATGTTATATATTTTTAAACAAATTATGAGCTCTAAAATATTTTCAGAATTTTTACAACTCTTTTACTTTAGACCATTTACAAATGTTAAATCCTAAAATAAAGTGTTACGGTAACCACTGCATCTTTCTGAAAAAAAAAATGCAGTGATTAATATATAGCTTATTTATAGTTATTTTCAAATCTTCAATGTACTGTCATTATAAAATAACTTTATTATTGTTTATTTAATTTTAACAAATAAGTTATTGTTAAAAACTAACCAAAATGTAAAATAATTATATATCGGTATCGGCATCGACTATCGGCCAAAATTAGTTGAAAATTATTGGCATATCGGATATCGGCAAAAATCCAATATCGTGCATCTCTAAAGATTTCTATAACTCATTTCTATCACTCCTTTCACTTATTTATATCACTTATTTATACATGGTATCAAAGCTCAATATTTTGTTACATAAAGAAATCTGTGAAAGTTGCATAATTAACTTTAAACTTCTTGTCTATAAGCTGTTTTGTACATCGCACGTTTAAAATGACTGACATTCAAATACAATAAAATTACTTGCAAAATCATTAATTCCATTCATTACAGACTTGCAAATAAAATCCTAAATGAAATCTGTTTATTATATGAAGCAAACTTATCTTGTCACAAAACCACTTGATTCAAATGTATTCATATTATGACGCTTTAACCTTTTGGGATCTTTTAAATAGTCATTCTTTTTTCAGAGAATGGTAACACAACTTTCCAACTCTAGCACCAGTGCTATGTGCAAAAAAAATACAATAAATAAAAATACATAAATAAAAAAAATGTACAGTCCTGTCAGTACAACATAAGAAACAGTAACTCAGTCATTCATATTACTTAACTATATTACACAATAACTATAAAATTAAGGTCAGGAACCAATTAGTAAGTTTGGGGTAAGTGAGAATTACTTACTTTCTTTTTTTTAGCTGTTTTCAACACTAATAATAATAAGAATTTATTCTTGAACAGCAAATCAGCATATTAGAATGATTTCTGAAGGATCATGTGACACTGAAGACTGCAGTAATGGCCACTACAAAATTCAGTTTGACATCACAGGAATAAATTACATTTTACAATATTACAACAGACAATAAACAGTTATTTTAAATTATTAGAGTTATTTTAAATTACAATTACTTTAATAATATTTCAAAACACTACTGTTTTTACTATATTTTTGATCAAATAAAAGCAGCCTTGGTGAACAGATGATGGTAAAAAACATTTTTAAAAATCCTACCAACCCCAAACTTTTGAATGGTAGTGTTATTTTTATAAAAAAAATTTACCGAGGGTCTGAAATGATTTTCAGTGGTAAATGATGCAATGCTTAAATTATATTGAAACCAGAACATTTAATTAATGCTTCAGGCTTGTTTTGCAAACTCTGGGATGATTCCCAGAAAAACAACAGGCTCAGAGTACACACATACAACAGCATTCTAAATAGTGTGTGTACTGTATGTGTGCAGGAAAAGGAGTGTTTATAAACTCACGTTCTCTGCAGAAGGAGACAATAATCCACCGTGACGGGAACCATGTCCTGCAGAGGAGAAAAGAGAAAGAACAAGCAGGAGCAGAATGAGAATTCATTAATGCATGGTAATAAAATGTATTAATAACATCAGTGCTACCAAAGTAAACTAGAAAATGAGAAAGAAATCTGTGTTTGTAGAACCTGGAAGAAAGCTTAACAGATTTCTACAGAACTAGAACAATGCAGATTTATAAAATCAATAAATAAGCAACAAATAATGTTTAAAATATTGTAAATTTCATCTATCTGATATATATCCCAGCCCTAAATATTATAGAACCACAGTCCATCTAATATGGGTGAAGTATTAAATATGCACATTTCTCTTGTGGTAAAACTGACTGTGAAAGTGTGTCTGACAGACAGGCAGTTAGAGCAGCATAACATTCCACATTGCCCTAGATATACAGAGCTAAATCTGCCATTTGGCCATGGTGAGTGCCTTATTTTTGTGATGACAGAGTGCTTCTTAATGGCAAAAAGAAATCGGAGAGCGAGCGAGACCCAGAGGCAGGGGAGAGATGACATTAGTGGGCCATTATTGTATGTGGTTTTTCGCCTTATGATTAGATGCGGTTTAAAAATGGATGCCGCAGGTCTAAAGACTGACATAAAGGAGACTGTCTGCATCGCTCTCTCAGTCTGCTCTCCTCACTCTCACCTCTCGAAAAAGCCTCTAAAATGCTAAAAACTCTTCAGCTCTGTCTTAAAAAGTATCTACATCTTTAAATAATAATAATAATATGGAAAATTGATAAGATAACACCATTTGAGAGGGATTCTATTGGTGACCCATTACCTGGAAGTGTTGCTCCATCACCTGGATTTTCCCTTGCTCTGGACATTTTTTCAGAGAGCGATCCACATACTGTAACAAAATTTCCACCATCTGTGAAGAGAGAGAATTTGTCATTTATTTGCACAACAACAAGTAAATTTAGCCATCATAACGCTCATTTACAGCGCTGCAGATAGATAAATTAATTTAGAAATCTGTTATACAGGAAAATCAAATACTGTCTCAATAAGAAAAAAATTTATTCACAGTATAAAGAAGTGGGATTCCAATAAGATCCTTAGTTCAGTTAGAGAACAAAGCTGAAATATTTTTAATCAATCGATTTAAACCCCAAACCCCAAACCAGCTCAACCAGGTTTAACTCTGGAGACAGTGCTAGCCATTTCATGATTTGAAGCTACTATCCTATTCTACTCTTCGAGATCATCTCTGACATATCCTGAAGGCATGTTTTAGGCCATTATCCTGTTGAAGGATGAACCCCTTAATAAGATGAAGTAAACCAGAGGGTGCTGCATTTTTTGTTCAGCTAAGTTTGGTAACACTGGATCCAACAAAAAAATTGAAGTAAAGATGTATGTACAGCAGTGTGACTGCATTAACAAGAATCTTACCTTGTCTGCAACCACACCTTTTCTCTTAGCAGGGTCTGCAAATAGACCTGTTACATAAACACATCCCGTTAGGTCTACATTACTATCTGCATTTTGTGGTATCATTAGAGCATTTGAATCTTAATTCTATCAAACAGTATTCTAAATCCTTTTTTTGTGTGTGTGTTTAACTTTTGTACAAAAGCTTTGAGGTCTGAAAGCTGTAATAATTTTCACAAAGATTGAGAAAGTACTGTAACAGTAATTTGGTTCAACAGAAGTGTAGATGTGAACAGAAGGACCGACCTAGCACAGCTTTGCCGGTGCCCTCGTGGAAGGACCAGGCAAGAGACAGAGCCTCCATGAACTTCTCCTGTTTCAAAAGATGGTCCACACGCTGCAGGACGTCAGAAGTCCCATTACTATCAGATTCATTATTGTGACACAGATATAACATTTGTGGTGTGCTATAAAATTATGCCTTACCTCACGCCAGTTCCTCAGGGTCATGATGTGCACAGACTACAAAAAAAAAAAAAATTAGTGATAAATTAACAAATCTGAAACAGGGCTGAGCAATAAGGGACGGACGTCTGATCACCCAGAGCAGTGCAAGAGAGTTTTGAGCCAAATGATAGAACTGTCAATTTTACCAGATGGATGCTGTGCTGTTGCTATATCTTCAATTGCTCTTCACATAAATACATTTATATCTTCAAAAATTACACATTTGTTTGTCTGTATTAAACCAAACATTGTTATTGCAAATTGTGCTGATTTAAATACATTACCAAATTTTCTATATGGCAGATATAGGAATGGTGGGATTTTAAACAAGTGGCACATTTGGTGGGGAAAAAAGAACAGAAAAAATATAAATATACACTATCATTCAAATAAATGCTGCTCTTTTGAATGTTCTACTCAATAAAGAATCCTGAAAATAAAAAATAAAATAATATATGTCACGGTTTCCACAAAAATATTAAGCAGCACAACTGTTTTCAACAATGATAGTTAAATTAATAATATTTTACAACATTACTTTTTAATGCATTTTTCACATTAAACACCTTATTGACCCCAAACTTTTAAATAATATTAATAAGTGAAGTGAAGTGAACTGAAGTGTGGCCAAGTATGGTGTCCCATACTAGGAATTTGTGCTCTGCATTTAACCCATCCAAGTGCACACACACAGCAGTGAAGTGAAGTGAAGATAGTGAAGTGAAGTGAAGTGAAGCGAAGATAGTGAAATGAAGTGAAGTGATGTGAAGTGTGGCCAAGTATGGTGTCCCATACTCGGAATTTGCTCTGCATTGAACCCATCCAAGTGCACACACACAGCAGTGAAGTGAAGATAGTGAAGTGAAGTGAAGTGAAGTGAAGTAAAGTGAAGTGAGGCCAAGTATGATGTCCCATACTCGAAATTTGTGCTCTGCTTTGAACCCATCCAAGTGCACACACACAGCAGTGAAGTGAAGTGAGGCCAAGTATGATGTCCCATACTCGAAATTTGTGCTCTGCTTTGAACCCATCCAAGTGCACACACACAGCAGTGAAGTGAAGTGAGGCCAAGTATGATGTCCCATACTCGAAATTTGTGCTCTGCATTGAACCCATCCAAGTGCACACACACAGCAGTGAAGTGAAGATAGTGAAGTGAAGTGAAGTGAAGTAAAGTGAAGTGAGGCCAAGTATGGTGTCCCATACTCGAAATTTGTGCTCTGCATTGAACCCATCCAAGTGCACACACACAGAGCAGTGAAGTGAAGTGAAGTGAAGTGAAGTGAAGTGAAGTGAAGTGAGGCCAAGAATCGAATCGTGAGTTGAGTGAATCGTTACATCCCTAGTGGACAGCCAATGCTGTGGCACCCGGGGAGCAGTTGGGGGTTCGGTGCCTTGCTCAAGGGTCTCACCTCAGTCGTGGTATTGAAGGTGGAGAGAGCGCTGGTTATTCACTCATTCCACCTACAATTCCTGCCGGACCTGAGATTCAAACCCGCAACCTACGGGTTGCAAGTCCAACTCTATCAATTAGGCCACGACTGCCTAATGATATGTAATAGAAAATAATAATAGAAAATTATACTTTTTAATTGGCCCCCTATAAACATTTATTATATTTAGAATGGACCAGTGTACAAAGCACAGTGAGGTATAGATACGTATTTGCCATTAAATGTATTAATAGAGCATAAAATTAGAATCATTCATAAAACTAAGGTCACATTAGATGTTTATTCAAGCACTTGCTGAGTTATTAAATAAGCAGCACTTGGGGGAAGTGATAGAGGCCACAGGAATTAATGTGACCTCCCAGAGCTGGCCCACTACCATGTCTAATGGATGACCCACAGTCAATTTTAATGCAATCCTTCTTCCCCCCCCCCTCCCTCCCTCCAGCTGCCTCTCTCTCCTTCATTTCTCTTCCCTTCCCTCCCTCTGGCTGCAGGTAACAGGAAGTTCAGTGAGGACATCACGGAGAGCAGATCTCAATGAATATTCAGAGAATGCGTGATGTGCGATTAGCATAATAGCACTTGAGTGTGCCATAGCTCAGTCAGAGGGGCGCTGGAGGAGTCAGCCAAACTTACAGCTGAACACAAGCCACCCAACATGTGCTACCAGTCTGAGAGTTTACGAGATACCCTTGCAAATCCCATGTTTTCATTATTGCAAATCTTCATAAGAAGATGAATACATGAGAATATGAAGATTATTGGATAGTTCTGCTGTGGAGCAAAAAGAATAAAGCTATAGTAAATGTTCATTCAGTGTCTTTGACAGGGCAGATATTGAGGATCAAGCTAAGCAGGGACAACACATGGAGTGACATGGTGACTGGCTTAGTTAATTCCTGATAATCAAGTCCAGATCAAAAGTTTTAAAGGGGTCATATGATGCTTTTTTAAAGATCATTACTTTGTGTATTTGGTGTAACAGAATATGTTGACATGCTTTAATGTTCAAAAAACACATTATTTTTCAAATACTGTACATTATTGTAAGTCCTCTATGCCCCGCCTCTCTCAAACGCTTCGTTTTCTACAAAGTCCCTCCTTCCGACAAGTCTATGCACAATCAGCTTGTAACACTCCAAAGAGAAAGGACAACTTGAAATCACATCATATGACCCCTTTAAAAGGAATTCCTCGCCTAACCATGAAAATTTGCTGAAAATGTACTCACCCGTAGCCATCCAAGATGTACTGTAGTTGAGATTGTTTCTTCATGGAAACAGATATTTGGAGAAATTTAACATTACATAACTTTCTCACCAATGGATCCTCTGCAGTGAATGGGTGCCGTCAGAATGAGAGTCCAAAGAGCTGATAAAAACATCACAAAAATAACAAGTAATCCGCACGACTCCAGTCCATCAATTAATGTCTTGTGAAATTATAAGTTGCGTGTTTGTAAGCAACAAATCCATCATTAAACTTTTTTTTTTTTACTTTAAACTGCCACTTCTGGCTAAAAAGAGTGCTTTCTCCAGTGCCAAAGTTGTCTCGCCTAAATCAGGAGAGAAATCAAGCACCATTTACAAGCAAAAACAGTCCAAAACAGTTATAAACAAATATGTCATTGGATTTTGATGCAAGAGGACAACAGGGGATGGACTTTTTAACCGGAAGAAGGGTTATTAAGGATTCATATTTTGGCCAGAAGCAACGGTTTGAAATCATAATGATGGATTAAATAAAGTCATCTTAATGATGGATTTGTTTCTTACCAACATGCAGCTTTTCACTTCGCAAAATGTTAGTTGATGGACTGGAGTCGTGCGGATTACTTGTGGATCATTGTGATGTTTTTATCAGCTGTTTGGACTCTCATTCTGACGGCACCCATTCACTGCAGAGGATCCATTGGTGAACAAGCGAAACAAACTTGTCCCCATGAAGAAACAAACTCATCTACATCTTGGATGGCTTGAGGGGGAGTACATTTTGAGCAAATTTTCATTTTGGGGTGAACTATTCCTTTAATCAGTATAATATACATGACCAACAACACCAAATCAGCTTTTTAAAGATGGAATTTTCACTAGCCAGTTTCAGACGATTCACCCAACATTTTTCCGAGCCTGTTTTTCACATGGCACTCCTGTTTACATGTGGAAGATAAACATCCAACACATTGTTAAAATCATCTTCTCATTGGCTAAAAGTTTTGTCTGTCAAAAATGTATCACAAAGCTAAAGGCTGGCGGTTTACAGACAAAATAGGCTATATCTCTCTAGACTAAACTGCTTGGAGGCAAGCTCATTTTGTTTGTGAGAGAGTAATATCACGTACAGTTCTACAACATGAACACAGATTGCATCATTTCTTGGAGAAACTTAATGGAGGGTAAATCTTTCAGACAAAATCTGATGTAAACAATAGAGAAAATATCAACATTTCTCAGAGTTTGTGGACAGAAATGTTTTTCCCTGGTAAATTGTTACTTGTGATGGACAACTCACCCAAGTGTGATGGATTGGATTCGTCTCACTGTTTCATAATAAAGGTATGAAGTCCTATACTGCTGCTAAAACATCTATATTATAAACATAGTCACTGGATGTTGACATTAAACTCATAGATCTTTAATGGCAAATTTAACAATATTTTTGTACAGTACTCTATATAGTAAAAGTAAACAAAACTAAACAAAGAAACTGACATGACCAGAAGTCACCCCTCTTCCATTTTCAATCGATTAATGTAAGAGACCTCTCACAAAACGAAGAAGATGAAAACATATTTTCCAGAGTAAACGTTGAGAATTAAAACCCCTTTTTGTTGCTCTAGTCCTTGCATTGCCGCAGGCTCTTATGATGTCACATGCTGACTGCTGGGACTGTGCCAGATTCTGTAGCACCCTTATTTTTGCAATTTTGTCAAATTAGATACAAATTCAGAGCTAAGTACATGAATTTGTTTAATGATGTAGCTGCCCACAGCACAGTGTACTCTAATTTGAAAAAAGAACATTATTATACAGTATTCCATTTTGTTCTAAGCAGTTTCCATTTGGCAAAAAGCACACATGAAACAATATATATACTTTACAATACCTGGTTGGTGAAATTAAAATGATGTAACCAAATATTGCAGAAATACAATTTGATATCAAATTGTATTTTTGGCACTGGACTATAATATAATTAGCTGTGATTAGCAGTTAGAAATATGACAGAAGGACTTTGTTACTACCACAGTGTGCTATGGGAGAATACTATACTGGAAGCTAGCATAGAACTGAACTTTTTGCAATGTAGAAAGTCCATTCTTATGTGCTGTTTTGTGCTTGTCTTCAGTGTTATCATGAGTGGCTTTACCTTTGTTCCCAGATACATGATCTGGCCTGCATAGCTGCAAACAGACTGGTAACATGTCTTCTCTCCAACTAGAGCCTAAAGATGTACAGAGGAATAGTGATTTAATGTCTTCACCTTTATATACAAGGAAAAACAATTGTCTTTATATGCCAGACACTCAATGCGAGTCTACATCGAAGTCAAATTTGTATTCATTTTCTTCATACAGAAATTCTTACTACAGAGATTTTTTTTTTTGTCAGAGATTTTTGCCTTTTCAAGACAGACCTACCATGCATTCTGAGATTGTTAAATGGAAGTATACATGCTTCTGTAAAAGTCAAAAGTCACTGTGACTTTACAGAATGATCATTTACCTAAAACATTGTGTGTATAATTTTTTATAAGTGCTATTTTAGCATTATTTATATACTGTTATAGAATTTGTTAATATTTTTATTTAACTTATTTTTACATTTTCGATTGTCATTTTGATTTTGTTATGTGCTTTTGCCTTTAGTTTTTACTTTTAATATTTAGCTTTCATTCATTTTGCTTAATTTTTATTCATTATAGTACTTAAACTTACTTTATTTTCAGTTAGTTGTCCAGGCAACATGTCTAATTTTCATAGAATTTTTTTAAGTTAAAGTTTACCGAATATTCACATTTGATTTGAAATTCAGCTTAATTTCAATTGACGAAAATTATTTTAATTGTATTTATTTATTTACATTTAATGACATAGTGCATACTTGAGTTGATTCTTTAAGATGATTTCTCTCATTTTTAAATACTTTCAATATTTTAATACTCAATAAATTGTAATGTCGTGATATATCTTAGCTGCAGTGATTTATGGTTGCTCATCAAACTGGTTGATCAAAGGCCACAAATACTTTATTCTTCATATTTTTATTTTTTAATCCTTATGAAGAAAATAAATGGGAAAAAATACTTCCAAAACCTAACTCATGGGAAAAAGGGGGCATTCATGGGTTCACACTATAAAGTACAACATGCACCAGACTAAATGGTGAAAACTCTGGCATATCAAGATCCTGGTCTTTACCAGTGCTTGGCTGACATTTCCTCCGGTAGCGAGGGATTTAAAATGGCTGCTGTTATAAACCAGCTGCAGCTCGGCCATGTCCACCGTTTCCAGTTCCTCCTGACTGGGCCTGTCCACCACTCGCAGCTTCTCTGTGCTGTCCATTAACACAAGCGTACGGGGGTTTATCCACTGCCAAGAGACAAGAGACAACATGAAACAATGCACACTGCCATAAAGGTAATCAAACTCATATGACTGTTAGTGAGGGTCTGACTCACACTCAGACTGATAAGGTCACAGTTGAGTTGAAGCTGTCTCTGTTTGATGACATGGATGGTGCCAGACTCATCCTTTTTAACCTGAGCACCAAAACAACAGAGTGGGTTGATTACTGTATGACTTTATTCACAGGTGAAGTATGTCATTTCTGTTCCACTAGCAGAGCTAAACAGATTTATGACTTGTTTTCTAACTACTTTCAACCACTCATAAATATCATAAATGTCTTAAACAGTTATCCCTCCCCAAACTGACGCTATTGGTGTGTCTGGCCACTATGGATGTTCAAACAGAAGTGCCACACTTCACCTTTAAGTCTATATTCTTTTTATCACTTTGAAAACAGTGTTGCTCAAACAGACCAGCAGGAAGTGGATGGTGTCTCCTCTACAGAAGGCCAGAACGGGGTTGATTGTTTTCTGGACTGCAACAAACTGCCAAGCCAACAAGGGAACACTCGCAGGATCCGTCTGCATTCAAAAATATATGAGATATTTAGAACTGCAATGATTAGAGTCCAGACCAAAGACGCAGGAATCCTGCTACTTCCTTGTTCGCACTGTATGTTCTTATTGTCACACTTGCTGGTGCTTTTTGGACCTCGCATTTAATTGGCATCTTTTCCTACCAGCAGAAATAATCATCACTATTTATTACAGCGACTTTTCCTATGAGAAGATGCCATGAAAATGTTTGCAGGATCCTCAGAACTCCTCCATAACCCAAATCAATCATGTGAGGCAAAATTGAGTGATATTTGTGTGCTAACGGGCAGCTGGTCCATGTGCTCTGTGCTAAATGAATCCAACTTAGCTCAATTTAATTGAAGAGCAGTGTTGGGCAGTAACGGATTACTTAGTAACGCGTTACTGTAATTTGATTACTTTTTTAGTAACGGAGTAATTTAACGTGTTATAATTTTCAAAATAGTAATTAGAGTATAGTTACAAGCCGAGGTCTCTATACGTTACTGCCGCATTACATTGCTGACAGAATGCAGTGTTTTATAATCTAGAGATTGTAAAAAGGATGTAGCACACGCACTGTCAAATCAAGTGCCAGTGGATTAGAGACTGCTCTCCCGCGAGGCCCGACACAACAGAGCGCGGCGTGGGACAAGATGGGCGAGTGCTGCTGCGGGCGGGTAGAGACTTGCGTGGGATGCGGGAGAATAAAATGATTCACGGGACTCCCGCAAAATAGAAATATCTAAAAATAAATTATCTAAAACAAATAAATTGTTATTCATCTATTGCACAAAAGCAACATGAACTAATATAAAATATAAACGATCAACAGGTGCATGCGTATGCAGAGTTTCTATTTAGATTCTATAACACGTGTTTGCAGAGTTGAGCAATGCAGTGCTGAAATTTGCGTGCTCACGGATCCTCTCATTATAACACATGAATTGTAGACATTATGAAAGATTCATTATGCATATATTTATTGTGTTATAACAGAGATTTGTGAGATTGCGATGAACTGAGGTCTTTTAGAGATTATAAATGCAGCGCTCTTTGCTGGCATTCTGCCATGCCAAACCATGCACGCAGCAGCCGCTTGCTTTAGTTAAAAATAACAGTGTTCTGTGAATGTTGATGCGTTAATAACACACATTTATCGGGAGCGTGTATGCTGGGATTTCATAAATGTCATGGAGAAAAAAGTAACGTAACTAGTAATGTAACTAATTACTAATTTCTTTTTAAATAAAGTAATCAGACCAGTAACGTGATTACTTTTAAAAGGAGTAATCAGTAATTTGATTACATTTTCAGAGTAACTTGCCCAACACTGTTGAAGAGAACAACCTCCCCACAGGCATAAAGGAGACAATAGACCAGAAGATGAATCCAGTTCAACAGTCACTTCAGAACTTTTGTTTATAGAGGTTTACAGAAATCTTAGCAGGTGGGTTGCTTTATTTTGAAGAAAAAAAGTTTAATGGCATCTCACTATGAAGCTCTATGTGTGAGTTGAGTGGATTTTAAATGTAACTTCCAATGAAAGCAATGTATGATTTATGATTTTTTTAACAATAATTGTGAATAATTATTTACAGATATTCTGCTCTAACGTCAGCATGAAAACAAAAGTTAGGACTGACTTCCGTATTGTGATGTATTTCTACGTAAAATGCAAATATATGTGCAATGGTCAATTATTCACAATAATACCATTAAGGGAATAAATAAGACAAAATGATGAATTCATGCCAACTTTAAATTAAAAACCCACTCTCATGTCAGCAAATAACTGTTAATAACTAAATGTGACAAAACTTTTCTTTTTAATACAGTTAAAATTGTGATTCTGAGGATAAACGAAAGTCTAATGGGTTTGGATCGACATGACAGTGAGTAAACGATGACAGAATTTTGAGTTTCGGGCAAATCCCTTTATGCATGGTGACATTGAGATCAGGGCTGAGTGAGTAATGTAAGGTAGGGTTTATAAATGTATGAACTTGTACATTATATTTACAGTTGAAGAGAGGAAAACACTAGAGATGATGTCAATCATGTATGTGCTGTGAAAACAAAAGCTAAGATAAATCTTGAATACAGAGGTTATTAAGTTTATCTGTAAGATGCCGTGTTGATGGCTGTTGGAAAAGCAAACCGATACACACACAAGAACACTGAAAATTAATGTGTGTACTGTACCTTGCCGTAGGGAAAAGTCATCCATACTTTGAGTGAAGGCTTCAGTCCTATCAGCAGAATCTGTAAAAATTCAGAGGCTGAATAAAATTGCAGTCAAACAGAAACCAATCCAATGTGTTTGGATGCTAGTAGCTGGCTGGTGCCCCAAACAAACAAGCAATTCACAAGATATGACAATACTGTTAGTTTACACACATAAAACCAAAATATAAGTAATGTAATGAAATACAAATTTCACCCCATTTAATGCAGATACAGTGTCATATACAGGTGCATCTCAATAAATTAGAATGTCGTGGAAAAGTTCATTTATTTCAGTAATTCAACTCAAATTGTGAAACACGTGTATTAAATAAATTCAATGAACACAGACTGAAGTAGTTTAGGTCTTTGGTTCTTTTAATTGTGATGATTTTGGCTCACATTTAACAAAAACCCACCAATTCACTATCTCAACAAATTAGAATATGGTGACATGCCAATCAGCTAATCAACTCAAAACACCTGCAAAGGTTTCCTGAGCCTTCAAAATGGTCTCTCAGTTTGGTTCACTAGGCTACACAATCATGGGGAAGACTGCTGATCTGCCAGTTGTCCAGAAGACAATCATTGACACCCTTCACAAGGAGGGTAAGCCACAAACATTCATTGCCAAAGAAGCTGGCTGTTCACAGAGTGCTGTATCCAAGCATGTTAACAGAAAGTTGAGTGGAAGGAAAAAGTGTGGAAGACAAAGATGTACAACCAACCGAGAGAACCGCAGCCTTATGAGGATTGTCAAGCAAAATCGATTCAAGAATTTGAGTGAACTTCACAAGGAATGGACTGAGGCCGGGGTCCAGGCATCAAGAGCCACCACCAACAATTCACTAAAAATGTTTTTTTTATTGGTCTTATGAAGTATTCTAATTTGTTGAGATGTCCTAGAGTCTGGAGGAAGGGTGGAGAAGCTCATAGCTCAAGTTGCTTGAAGTCCAGTGTTAAGTTTCCATAGTCTGTGATGATTTGGGGTGCAATGTCATCTGCTGGTGTTGGTCCATTGTGTTTTTTGAAAACCAATGTCACTGCACCTGTTTACCCGTGACCAGCTTTTTGAAGATGCTGATTTAATTTTCCAGCAGTATTTGGCACCTGCCCACACTGCCAAAAGCCCCAAAAGTTGGTTAAATGACCATTGTGTTGGTGTGCTTGACTGGCCAGCAAACTCACCAGACCTGAACCCCATAGAGAATCTATGGGGTATTGTCAAGAGGAAAATGAGAAACAAGAGACCAAAAAATGCAGATGAGCTGAAGGCCACTGTCAAAGAAACCTGGGCTTCCATACCACCTCAGCAGTGCCACAAACTGATCACCTCCATGCCATGCCGAATTGAGGCAGTAATTAAAGCAAAAGGAGCCCCTACCAAGTATTGAGTACATGTACAGTAAATGAACATACTTTCCAGAAGGCCAACAATTCACTAAAAATGTTTTTTTTTTATTGGTCTTATGAAGTATTCTAATTTGTTGAGATAGTGAATTGGTGGGTTTTTGTTAAATGTGAGCCAAAATCATCACAATTAAAAGAACCAAAGACTTAAACTACTTCAGTCTGTGTGCATTGAATTTATTTAATACACAAGTTTCACAATTTGAGTTGAATTACTGAAATAAATGAACTTTTCCACGACATTCTAATTTATTGAGATGCACCTGTATACTAGGGCTGGGTAAAAAATATTGATATCTCGATTTTAATTGATTCTCATTTTTACGGAACAATATTCTTGGGATTTAAGAATAGATTAGTCTAGCCTGTTTTCAGTTAATGGACTGAACATTGAAGAGCACCTACCATCCAATAAATCACAATAAGCACTGTGCGTTGGTAGGCTACTTTTAATATGAAACAAAGTCTCAGATTTCAATTTATGTCCATTGTACTGCAGTATTCAAACAATAAATGCCGTTTTGGCGCTGTTTAATGTGGAGTGACAGATCGCTGTAGTGCCTCATTTCAACAGACGCAGCAGCGCGAGGCGCACGTGAACTGATCATCTCCTCCACATTAATACCAGTTTCAGCACAAAATAAACATGACTAAACATCCGAAGGTAAGTTAAAAGAAAGAGTATAACTTTACTATCTGTATCCTGTCTCATGTAATCGCTCAATCAGTGTTTTAGCCGCACAAAGACATTAATATAACAGCTTGTAAACAATTCATGTAACATCACATTTACCTCAGAAAGCATATTTGGTGACCATAAACTCGATAGTCAGCCAGAAAAATAAACTGTAGAGAGGAGCATTTTGCTATATAACATATACCATATAACATTCATTATAATTTTTTTTACCGTTCTTTAATGTTTTATTTATGTTTGAATAAATCCGTCCAAGTTTTTATGACAGCCACTATTTAAAAGTGTATATTTAAAAAAAACTAACTGAAGTAATTGTAACTTAATTATTATAAAAACTTAATTAAGTGCAATTTAAGCAGTTGTACAGCACAAATCAGTCAATTTTAACCTTCAATATTAATGCAGTACCGACTCACTCTCATGTATATTTAACAGCATTAGTTGAGAGATTTTTTTTTTCTTGAGAAAATTTGGCATTTACTGTACCTGATATGTATCCAAAATAATCTATATTGAATCGAATCGAATCGGTAATCGAATCAAATCGCAAGCATGTGAATGAGAATCTAATCGAATTGTGAAATTTGTGTCAAAACCCAGCCCTAATATATACCATCACTCAAAAATTTGGATTGTTATGTCTCTAAGGCTCTTATGCTCACGGAGGCTACAATTATTTAATGAAAAATACAGTAAAACTGTGAAATATTATTATCATTTAAACTAACTCTTGTTTAAATATATTTTAAAATGCAATTTATTTTGGTGATGCAAAACTGAATTTAAGACAGCCATTACTCCAGTCTTCAGCATCACGTGATATTAGAATATATAAATATATCAAACATTCTTATTATGCCAGCAGCTGCTTTTTAAAGTACTTCATTTGGTCAGCTTGTTTGTCACTGTTGTTACATGTTATATGCTACTTGTTCTCTGAGACCAATGTGGAATGGCAGTTATGGACACATGAGTTTTTAGCTGAATGAAGTTAAAAGAGAAACTGTTAATAAGTCCATTGGAAATAGGCCTTTAAGGCCGATTCACATGAAGAATGACAAATATGAACATTAAAAAGCTAAAAAATAAAAAGCTACAACTCTAAGAGAATATCAGAATCCACACCCCAACTATAACAGAATCGACACAGAGGAATAATATCTTTGCAATCACTTTTTAGAGTGATATTCTAAAAAGACATTAACAACCATTCAAAATCATCAAAACTGTGCTCAAAGACAAAAATGTCACATTAAAGGAGATATATTATGCCCCTTTTTACAATATGTAATATAAGTCTCTGGTGTCCACAGAATGTATCTGTGAAGTTTCAGTTCAAAATACTCCACAGATCATTCATTATAACATTTTAAAAATGCCTATTTTGAGTGGAAGCAGAAACACGCTGTTTTTCGGGCCTGTCTCTTTAAATGCAAATGAGCTGCTGCTCCCCGCCCCCTTTTCCAAAATACAGCTGCGCCATTACAGCTCGGACCTGCTAAAAACATCTGTTTTGGTTCTGATTATCATGTTTATCGTTATCTGATTATCGTTTTAAACCATATGAGTTTAAACTTCTGATATACGGTTTTCTGAGTGCACACATCCGAAGCACACGGACAGAAAGCGGCTGTCACAGCATGTGAGTACTAAACTAAGTTCTCATTCACACACAAGTTTACTTTAAAAACACACACGAGTTACAAAAACAGTCGGTTATGTCTGTGAAGGTAAACTGCTGGGAAATAAATCGCATATTTATTTTAGATCTGTGTGGCAGCAGCAATATACAGTAAATAAATCAATAAATCCACTGCTCTCTTGTCTCCTCTGAGACTCTAAATAGTTTGAGTTCTGTGCTCGTCTGTGCAGCCAAAGACAGAACAGTTAGCATGTTTTGCTCAAACTTTCACCATGGCATTAGAGCTGGTACACCATTGTCGCTTGTGAAATCAAAATGACGGCGCCGTGGGTGGAAACTTACAGATTAAGGGGCGGTAATATTATAATGAGATCCCTTTGCAATGTCACTAGGGAAGCTAAATCAGACGCGCTGGTTTTCTCAGACTCTTGCAGAAAAAGGCTTCCCAAAACTAAGTTACTGGGTTAATCTTTTTCTCATTTCCTTGGTTGGTAGATGCACCGGGGACATGATTATAGCACTTAAAACCTGGAAAAGTCAGATTTTCATGATGTCACCTTTAACTGAAAACCCAACACCGAAAAAAACAAGCAAAAACCAAAGACTGAAATGTATCGATTTTGCCCTGAATTGCATAGGCCCACAAGATGCTATTTCAGGCTGAAAAGGAAAATTTACCATTTTGGAATTGAAGAGCAGCAGATGTATTATTTGACAATCGAACACATGAAACAAACACTGGGCCAAAAAATGTATCAGTGCGCTGAATATGAGAAATGCCTAGCCATTAAGTGCACTATTTTATTTTTTTCAGTTCCACCAGTTTTAATTTGGCACAAAACATGTTTATTCTCACTGTAAATGAACCAGGCCAGCACACACTGTAACTAAATGGTTCGCAAATTCTCCTGTGCAACTACATTTTGGTTGCACTGGTGTGATTACAGAAGCATGTTTGATTATTTGCTGCTTTTATGGGAACCACCTAAAGCCAAAAATCCAAACATTTCCCAAAATCTTTTGAAACAACAATAATGTATATAATAAAATCTGCAAAAAATATGATTTAAACATCTTTACAGTTTAAATAATAAAGGTGTTTTCACACACACACACACACACACAAAAACCGTTTTATTAAACGATAAACCCCACATGTGAGCCTAATAAAAGATTATGTAAGTTATATATAATTGGTCTGAACAAAAACAGTGATATTGTGACACCCCTAGACCTTTAGGGAGTGAGTAGTCAGCACTCAGCAGTAGAAAGTACTGAATGTATGAGTGTACCTTGGTGAGTGAGGCCATGGCCAGCAGGGAGTAGTGGGTAATGGGATGATCTTTCAGTTCAGGTCCAGCATGTAGAGGCTCAACACAGCAAACCTCACCTTTAGAACCACTGAATAAACACCTGGATTCACATGTCCTCATCCCCATTACCCTCCTAGATAGAGAGAAAGAGAATGTGAGCAAATTCATAATCCAGAACCACTGTAATCGAGTCCCAGCATTATAGCAGTGAATGATAGATACCTGTCAGGTTAATAAGAATTAATGTTTTTTTCACTCAACAAAAGCATTTAGCGGGAAATGAATGACAATTTCCTCCTTCAATAAGATTAGAGTCATAAGAGAATTCATCAATTGATACAGATTCAGATAATTAGGTTTCTGACAGAATCTCTAAGTTGAGGGATGTGACAGAGTTCTATTCTCTGCCATAGAAGCAATGGTAAGAAAAATGAATGAGAAATGTAGGTAAAATATGACACAAAAAAATGAATGCTAGTAATTGTTCAATATAATAATTTATAATGTTGAAATAGAGTGGGTATACCATATTGGCAAAGTGGGGCAGCATATCAAGTCATGATATTAACAATATAGCAAAAATATGACAGTGTAGTGCAGCGCATAACATATTTACAGTATGGAATGGCAAAAAATGAATGCAGGAAAGAAAGTGAAAGAACTGAAAAAAGATGGTTAAGAAAAGGAGCAAGAATACATATATATAGAGAGAGAGAGAGAGAGAGAGAGAGAGAAAGAGAGAGAGAGTGATGTCAAACGATTAATCACGATTAATAGCATTCAAAATAACGTTTTACATAATATATGAGTGTGTACTGTGTATATTTATTATGAATATATAAATACAAACACATGCATTAATATATTAAAAATATATATATGTTATGTTTATATATTAAATATATTTATATAGAATTTAGAATATGAAATATAATAATATAAATATATAAATGTATATATATGTAACATGTATTCAAAATATATACTTAATGTGTGTATTTATATGTTGCAGACCCCGCCCAGGAAGTCCACTCAACAGATGAGAATTGTATTTTTGTAATGAAGAAAGAGAGAGAGAGACAAGAGTTTGCCTTTAGTCAAGCGGTCCTCTTTGTTGACTTTAATTAAAACATAATCAATCCATGAAACTTTAACCCACAGTATTTCACATTAGGAAAATAAATGTATCAATATGTACAAACACTCAGTGATAATAAATAAACAGTTAAATAAACAAAGAAATAAATCCTATCAACGTTTCACACAACACACATAGCAGACTTAATTCAGGCAAGTAATAACAGTATCTGTTATATTGTATTTTTGTATCCTCACACTGGCAGTTGTTAACTTTAACATTAAAAAATACATAATAAATAAACACATTACACATAAATATATTATGTAAACAAAAACTTTTATTTTGGACGCAATTAATAGTTTGACAGCACTAATATATCTACATCTATATATATATATATATATATCTATATATCTATATATATAGATATATATCTATATATATATGATTTTTTTTTGTAATCAACAGAAAGAATAAATGGAGCAATACCAGAATATATGAAAATGTTTACTCTTAAATCATAGATATTTGAAGTAGAACTGACAAATGTAATTAGGCTTTTTATTTGATTTAATAAGTGGATATTTTTATCTGTATGTTAGTTTTAATCATTTATGTAAATTAAGAATACTAAAAGCTATATTAGCTCACTAACAGCTTTCTATTTTGTTGGCGGGGGGGGGGGGGGGTGTTTGTTTGTTGAATATTTTTTAAGCGACATGCGGAATTGTGTCCAGTGTTGTTTCACTATCACTGAAAATGTTATTATTTTGAATTAAATCTTACTTTTATTTATTTATTTTAGTTTTAGTCATTTTGTTGTGTTTTTGTGTTTTTAATGTCTGTACAATTTTCAATCTTAGTATTCGTTAATTTAGTTTTATGAAAGAAAATAAGTTAACATCTTCATGTTATTTTATTTCAGCTAAAGTTTATTTTATAAGTAAATAAAATAGATCCACTTTCCTGCAGAGTTTAGCTCTAACCCTAATCAAACACACCTACGCATGCTAAACAATGTCTTCAGGATCATTAGAAAATCACAGGTAGGTGAGTTTTATCAGGGTTGGAGCTAATCTCTGCAGGAAAGTGGATCTCGGGAGCCAGATTTGAGGATCCCTGGTCAGATGCATGAGGCTCTACTGCCCCCTACACACCAGTTATCTGTACTACAATGTTATAAATGTGCCTTATAAATGTGCTTTATACAATTCAAGATATGTTTAAGTTGAAATACCTCTCACCTGAATGACAGCTCAAACACAGATCCGCCACTGTCATTACACACAGCTAGCGCCGGATGGTCAGTGAACTGTGGAAAGAAATAGAGAAAAGTGCTTTATTCAATGGCAATGAACAACAAAGCATGTAAAGTACATACATAAGTACAGTGCATAACCTTCACATGTAGTATGGCAGTGCCAGGTGGATGGGCGTCAGTGATAGTGCGGAGCAGCTTCCCATTGGCCAGATCCCACATGGTGATCTGCATTAGGAATAAAATGACACTTTACATACACTGACCTGACCTGATCATTATGAATAAGCTATCTGCCATCAAAATTGCCAGTGAGTTTAAAGGGGTCATATGATGTGATTTCAAGTTTTCCTTTCTCTTTGGAGTGTTACAAGCAAAGACTAAAGTCTCAAATCTAAAGAGATATTCTTTATAAAAGTTAAGAGTCAGCCATGCCTACCTAAAACGGCTCGTTCTAACACGCCCCCACATATCTACGTCACTATGTGGAAATATTAGCATAATGCCGCCCAAATGTTCACGCAAAGAAAAAAAGGTGTGGTTTCAGGAACAGCAGTGTTGATGCAGCCATGTCAAGGAGACGCTGTGTGTTTCAGTGCGAAAGCAAAAGCACTTTATTTGGCCTTCCGGAAGTAGATGCAATTAGGAATCATTGGTTAAGATTTATTTACAACAAAACAGTACAATCCAGATGTTCGAATTTGTGCAACGCATTTTATGGACGACAGTTTTTTGAACCTAGAAGAGTACAATGCTATTGACTGTTCAACTGCGAAGTTTTGCGCAACACAGAGTAACGCGTCGTGTGTGTGTGTGAGGAGAACAGGGTCATGTCACAGGAGAGTGAACTGCCTGTCAGAAATCATAGCACGTCAGCTGTCTTAACCGCGGTTTGTGTACTGCATCATCACTGTGTCTGTCACGCGACTCTGTTGCCCTTTCGGGCTTGAACTGATGGTAAAACTAACGACATTATTAACTGTCTTGATATTTACTTTGAAAGCTGAAGCTCGCGATTATGGTAAGGAGCGTTACATTTTCGACGCGTGCTTGTGGTGTTCGGCCAATCACAATGCACTGGTTCAGCTGGCCAATCAGAGCAGACTGCGCTTGTCAAAGGAGGGGGCTTTGTTGAAAACGAGTGTTTGAGAGAGGCGGGGCATAGAGAACCTACAATAATGTACAGTATTTGAAAAATAATGTGTTTTTTGAACATTAAAGCATGTCAACATATTCTGTTACACCAAATACACAAAATAATGATCTTTAAAAAAGCATCATATGACCCTTTTAAGGGTTTGCTGCTGCTCACCTGTCCTTTGGCAAAGCCACAAAGCAGTCGTGTGCAATCGTGATTAATACTGAGAGCTGACACCGCCCCATACTCCGCTCCTGTCGCTGTGGTGCCCAGACAGAGACGCAGAGCCTGGTTCTGGTCTGAAATCATAATATACCAATTAGACAAAACAGCATTAAGTGCAGATTATGGAACAATTATGTCCTTTAAACTTTATCAACAACATCATTAAAAAAAATGACACACACAGTGGTTTGTTTTTATTACAATACTTCCAAATGCAGCTGCAAGCAAAACACAAACAGACGAAGAGCGTGCAAACAGCCATAGCAAACATCTCAGCCCATATCTTTCTATTAAAAAAAACGATGCTTTAAATGGTTTAGCATGCTCTTAGGCCATTTCACACTAGACACATGAGCAGATACATAGACACATCTTTTTTTCTGCACCCATGTTAACAGGTTAGAGCATTCACACTGAAAGATGAGACAGCACAGCACTGTGTAGCTGAAGCAGTGCTGTGATCGTTCCTATTCTTGCTGTGCTGTTCACACTGAATTAAAGTGACACTGCACTGTTCCTGGCCAAAATACACATGCATTAACATGAAAAAGAAGCAGTGCTCTCAGAAAAGGGTTCCTGGGTCCAGTAGGGTGCCTCTACAAACTTCCAAGGGCCTCAAGATGACATCAAATTGTTTAAAATATGACAAAAAAATGTGTATGTATGCAGGGCTCGACATTAACGCTTGTCCGGGACAAGTGGATTTTGTGAAGGGGCAAGTGAAATAGAATTTTACTTGCCCAGCCGGACAAGTAACCTGATTAAAACATCAATAACAAACAATAACTAGGACAGCACTGAAACTTTGGTAAGAACGATTCTGATTTGATTACTTTCAGTGTAAACGGTGACTGATGATGGATAATGTATTGACAGTATCAGCCTTGCATCAGTTGAGGCTCGTGCAGCCTGTCTGACTCACAGAGAAATCAAAACTAATAGGTGCATCAGCACATACAAAGAAACAAACCAAAAAAAAAGGATAAATATTCTATATAACATATGATATAGGTAAGCAACATCACATGACCAAGCACTAGCACGATTGCAAATGTGACACTGATTTTATACAACAGTAGTTCAATAAACAAGAAGTTAATATTAACTGACTTACATTAAATAACATTATTGTCTGCAAACAGCCCGCCTTGTTGGCAGAGTAGCTGCCCCCACCAATGTATCAGGCTTGCATCAGTTGAGGCTCGTGCAGCCTGTCTGACTCACAGAGAAATCAAAACTAATAGGTGCATCAGCACATACAAAGAAACAAACCAAAAAAAAAGGATAAATATTCTATATAACATATGATATAGGTAAGCAACATCACATGACCAAGCACTAGCACGATTGCAAATGTGACACTGATTTTATACAACAGTAGTTCAATAAACAAGAAGTTAATATTAACTGACTTACATTTTAGACACTTTATTGACCGTTTTTGCTAACAAAAATTGTTAGCCACGGCAGAACAGTCGCGCATCTCCGAGCAACACACAGCGGTGTTTCGTTACTGAATGATTCAGCATTTTTGAACAAATCGGGTGAGTCAATGATTCAGTGAGCCATTCATAAAGACAGTCACTTGCTTTATTTATTGAATGAATTAGCCGTTTGAACGAATTGGTTGAATCAACCAATGACTTACTCATTAAGACAGTGACTTGCCGCCACCTACTGGTCGTTTGGTTTCATATTTAAAAGTAGGCCTATCATTGCATTTTTCTAACATTTCTCATTTATATGTTAAAAAAAGTGAATCATTTATTCTTATAACATTATTTATGCATTTGCAATTTTACTGTGTAAATGCATTTATGGAACTTCTTATCTTCATTAAACAGTCTGTGTAAATACATCTACAGTAAATGGCACTTTCGATGCAGCTTCAGTGTTTCCTCTGCAGTGGAAAGATGGAGTTTGTTGATACTGATTTCATTTGAATGGTAACAACCATACAGAGTCTAATTATTCTAACTGAATGTATTGATAAAATTTAAGAATTTGACGTAAATGATGACACGTACATCTAGCAAGGTTAGGAAAATATTGCCCTTTATAAAGTTTAAAAAGTGTCCTAGAAATCAATTTAAGGCAAATATCACAAATATGTTGATTAAAGTAAGACCTGATAGAGCACTGATGAGACTCTTGCTTCAGAATGGATTACATTTACACCAAAAAAAAAGGCTTTTTTCCCCCCGGACAAGTAACTTTTTTACTCGGACAGGTGAATGACTGATTTACCTGTCTGAAGGACAAGCACATGTCAAGGCTTAATGTCGAGCCCTGTGTATTTATTTATTCCTTCCTTTGAAGAAACATGGTTCGCACAATCTTGAAATGCCTGGATATATGAGGCTGCCTAATTTTAAAAGTATGATTTCTACAGTTTGTCAAGTAATATCTTATATTTTTATATACGTACAGTAAATATTTATATTTAAACTGAAAAAATCTATCTAAATTCACTGGTTAAAATAAGTGAAACCCCCGAAGAACATTGAGTTTTTAAAACTCCTGGAATCCTAAAATGTTATCATTTAAGTTTTAATTATCATTATTTGAGTTGTTATAATAATCCATGGACTCTCCTTGTTTCTTTAAATAAAAGGTTTTGGGGAAAAACCCGTCATAACAGCAAATATTCAAGTGGAAACCTAATAGCCTACATCGAGCACTGATGTTGACAATGCATATTTAACTTATTTGGTTACAATTTAAAATAAGGGATCACATATTCACTGTTAACTAAGGGTTTCCCCAGAACAAACTCCCAATTTGCTGCTTATTATTAGTTAGTAAGGTAGTTGTTAAGGTTAGGTATGGGGTAGGATTAAGGGATCGAAAATATGGTCAAGCAGAATAAGGCATTATTATGTGCTTTATAAGTATTAATAAACAGCCAACATGCTAGTAATATGCACGCTAATAAGCAACTAGTTAATAGTGAGAATCGGTCCTTAAAATAAAGTATTACCAAAGATTTTAAACAGAAATATATTTTTAAATAAATTTTACCATACTGTATGAACTACACTACAGTACACAGCATGCTACATGATTTAACATCTTATATGGTTATGGTGTGGGTGGGGGGACACAATGACAGACTGATGATAGCTGGGTGTCAACACAATCAGCTGTGGTTCAGCTGCGCACTAGAAACACTGCCAGTGTGAAAGCACAGTGACTGCCGCTTCTGCTCTGTTTACATGTCCAGTGTGAAATGGGCATTAATGTGTCGCAATGCTAAACATGATGCAATAGAAAACCATTGTGGTATTAACAGATTTTGCACTATATTAATACATTACCTTTTCCTGAATATTCCACCCAAGACAAGCCAAGGCAGAGAGATAGTCCCAGAGTCGTTTAAAATACACTCATTGACAAATACCATTACAGTAGTGCACATAAAGAATTCTAATACTGCATTTTTGCATTACATATTAATAAAGCACTGTGATAAACAAAGTTCTAGACAGACTGTTATGATTAAACATAAAACATCCCTTCCAAAAATCTAAAATAAACTCCACTGAAGTGCCCTTTATCAACTTTACCACAACAGAAACATGAGAACTGAAACATGCTTACCAAATACTAAGGCCAGACCATGTGACGTCCCTACAGCGATCACATTTGAAACAGTCTGCAAACACAAAAGCACTTCAGACATGAAAGGTTTTTTTTTTTTACATTAATTAAAAATCCCAAGAAAGTCAAATACTCACTATTGCCGTTGGCAAGCCAGCATCAACTTTATCCTGAAGAGAGATGGAAAGAGTAAAAGCACCAAATTATAAAATGAGCAACACAATTTCATTGGAATAGAAGACATTTCTGTTGGAAGAGTCTCTTATTTATAGCTCTCAATTTATAGCTGTTATTTATAGCTCTGAATTATTAAAACATGATGCACCATTGCCAACTGAACTGACAATGTCTGAATTTAATCTGAGGAAAGAAATGTAAATTAATTAAATACTGATATGAAATGAATCAATTGTGAATTAAATAAATAATGAATTAAATGAATGAAAAAAAAATCATATAACTGATGTAAGTGTAGCTTATCATAATGTAATTTATTTACATTACCCACAATCATTATAATATACTTAACACATTTACACACAGCATACTTATTATTATAGCTTTGCATAGTATAGCACAAGCAATAGATGAAGTATTATTGGTCATACCGCAGCTGATACTATCTGAGCCGAGATGCCTTTCAGCAGATTGCGTCTAAGAACAGATCCATGTACTGTAGCATTAGTTTCCACTGCTTTCCTCCTCCTGAGGTGAACATACACAGACTAATTACTGAAAAGAAAAGACTTTATTCAATCACCAAACATGCATCACAACATCAATACAGAGCAAGCGCTGTTAATGTGTAGCCAGGTTAAGAAAGTGTCCATTCCTCTTTAAGTGTGTGCGGTCTCCACTGTCAGAGCTGGCCAGAGACGAGGTTTCACACGAGTGGGCATCAATGTTCTCTGTGTTCAAAAGACACGTGTCCTCCAGAATGAATGGCTCATCCTCCTCTTCAGGCTGAAAACAGGAGTGTTGAAAACCAAAATATTTACTGTCATAAACACTTTCTATAATTTAATGTTTTCTCTCTCGCTCTCTACCTTTGTGCATTTCACTTCTGCTCTAGTCAGTAATCTAGCTTGTACTTGAAACTTGGTATTGTGTATTAGAAAAAATAATTTGCTTTTATGATAAATTGCTCGCCGTGTACCTCATTTGTATAAAAGCATCATGAATGAATGAATTAAATGTCTGCGGAATTAAAAGATGTTAAAAGAATGGATACAAGATCATTTGTAAAAATTACCATTCAAACAATATGAAAAGCCGTTTATCGCTATCACTGCTCTTACAAAAAGAGTACTGTGATAGTACCACGGTATTGATGGTAATACCATGGTATTTAAAGATTACCATATACAAGTACTATGGTATTTTCATTGTACTGCATGACAAAGTATATTTGCAAAAACGCTTGGACTGAACACTTGACTGAGTTTAGATAATCATGGACTAAAGACTTGTGCTTAAACGCTTGTCATTAGTTTTGTAGATAAACACATTCTCAATTTTGTGGTCAGTGAGTTTTTTTTTAAAGGAATGAATACTTTTATTCAGCATGGATGCTTTAAATTGACCAAAAGTGAGAGTAAAGACATTCAAAATGAATCTATTTCAAATCAATGTTTTTCTTTTCCATCAAATAATCCTGAAAATAAAATGTATAAATGTTTCCACAGAAATATGAAGCAGCACAACTGTCTCCAGCGTTGATGATAATAAGAACTTTCTTGAGCAGCAAAGCAGCATATTAGAATGATTTCTGAGGGAGTATGTGAAACAGTAATGGCTTCTGAACATTTTGCATCACAGGAATAAACTACATTTTACAGTATATTCACAAAAAATGGTTGTTTTAAACTCTAATAATAATATATCACAATATTACTGTTTTTGCTGTATTTCCGAATAAATAAATGCAGACTTGGTGTGCAAGAGACTTTCAAAAACTGATCCAACCCTACATTTTTTAACAAGTCTACATGTGAATTTCTTTATAAACCATTTTAATGGATGAGTGGACAATATTTAGGCTAGTTTATAATATAATTCTCCTACTTCCATTCGTGTTATTTCATAGTTTTTATGACTTTTACTACTATTCTGAATTGTAGAAAATACTCGTAATAAAAACTAAGTAGGATGACTGGTATATCTGCAACTTTAATCCATCTCTAGGGTGCTGTAAGATGACTGGAAGTATGATAACCTGACAAACTGACCTCATTCAGGATGCTCTCGAGGGTCGGAGGCGTGTCCACTTGAGGGATGTCAAACTCTTTATCATCAATCTAACAGATAAATACGTCCTTCATATTAAATCATACATGCATCAAAGTAACCCTCTGTTCGCAATGACTGCCAGTTTTCGAGGTGAATACTGCAGGTACATACACAATAATGTGCAATTCTTTACATGCACAAACCATTCACGTTTACAAAAACATATTACACAAATCACGAACTCATTGACTATGAGAAACAAGCACATATTAAACGCACTGATCTTAAACGCAGCATTAGTAAAATGTCACTAAGAACAACACGAAGCTTGTAATGAACCAAATGAACCAAAACCATACAGACAAAAACTGAAGCAGTCAATCTCAAGTCAAGTCTTACCGCCTCTATTTCCATTAAATTGAGCTGTGAGGACGCAGAAACAAGACTGCGACTGTCCGGAGATTCAGCCATTATACAGTCAGAGATTAGCTGTCGAGTGTCATAACCATGGTCATAATATTGATATTGTTATGTTTATCAGCTGTAGTCAGTATGCCCTGCAGCAGCAGTCTACATCCCTGATAGTGTCGGAAGAGGCGGGGCCTACCGGCATACGTAACCATTCCACTTCCTATATATAAATCGTAATACTTAAAATAAAATTTAAATTCAAATAGTCCAATATATTTATAATAACGATGATAATAATAATAATAATATTTAAGCTATTATTTCATTCAAATGTATATTGTTATAAAACCTAGATTGCTCTTAATATTATAATATTAATTTAAATAGAATTAATAGTTATTTCTAAGTATGAAATAAATGATTTACAATTTTATATCATGACCACATTTACCGCTTTGATACATAGCTCTTTTACGGATTGAATTGTTGTTGTTGTTTTTTATTTTATTTTGTAGAGTCTGAACGCAGAACATTATAGGCTATAACTTTTCATGTCATATGCAAAGAGTGAAATACGATATGAAATATCGTATGAAATAGATAGGTAGTGGAAAGTTAAAAATAACAAATAAAAGAAAATTTACTCTAAAAACTAAAACAAATTTTTTTTATATTAATATTGATATTGTACGATTTAAATTAAAGTTACATTTTTAAGAAGGCCACAAATAATATATTTCCGAGCAAAAATATATTTTTGCGTTTATGATTAGGCATTTCTGAAAGAAATGGTTGATCGAACCTGGTAATGTTTTTTATCCAGACTGAGGGAAAAACATTATTTCACTAAAATGTTTGCCCAATTTTACGAAGAGTAGCATTGTGAAATAGTTTGTATGCATTGTTACAATTTAAAGGGGTCATATGATGCGATTTCAATTTTTCCTTTCTCTTTGGAGTGTTACAAGCTCTTGGTGCATAAAGAAGATCTGTAAAGTTGCAAAGACTAAAGTCTCAAATCCAAAGAGATATTCTTTATAAAAATCAAGATTCAACCACACCTACCTAAACGGCTCGTTCTAACACACCCCCACATGTCTACGTCACGATGTGGGAAGATTTGCATAACACCGCCCAAATGTTCACGCAAAGAAAGAAGGCGTAACTTTTATTCTCGCTGTAGTATTGTTGTTGCCGCCGCCACCATGTCGTGAAGGCACTGTGTGATTCGTTGTGAAGCAAAACTACTTTGCTTGGCCTTCCAAAAGAGGATCATATCCGCTTCGTCATGCCTGGAGCTGATCCGTGCTGGTCGCTGAGGAAATACATCAACTTCGCGCTGTGGATCGCCCGATCGGCTTTCACCGTGGACAAAGCAGAGTCTAGCCCGGGGTCGTCACATGTCCTTCCGGACGCTCCTTAGTCGAATCCGCCGGCCGCGCCGTTCTCAAGCCCGCCCGCCTCTGCACTTTATTTTAAGGTGTCCTTGTTACACATATTACATGTACTTACTATTATAATAACAATTAATTATGCATAATTACATGCAAGTTGTTACGGGGCTGACGAGACATGAGATGTGTGGACCCATATGCAAAGCTTTTTATTGGGAGAAGACAGAGACGTGGTCATAAAACAGGCATGGGTCAGAAAATGGCAGACAGGTATATGGCGGGCAAGACACAAGAATAATCCTAGGGCCAGCGAAGGTCAACAAAACGCGAGATGTGTGGACCCATATGCAAAGCTTTTTATTGGGAGAAGACAGAGACGTGGTCATAAAACAGGCATGGGTCAGAAAATGGCAGACAGGTATATGGCGGGCAAGACACAAGAATAATCCTAGGGCTAGCGAAGGTCAACAAACGGCAAACAGAATCAAAGAGGGCGAGACTAAAGGGACAAATCCAGAAAACCCGGCAAGGATCAGAAACTGAGAAAACAAGCAAGGCAAGGCAAGGCAAGGCAAGGCTAGGCTAGGCTAGGCTAGGCTAGGGCTCTGTAGTGTAGCTATCAATGGATAGGCGCTAACCAATACTCGGCAGAGGGAAGGGATCAGAGTGGCTAAACAATACTCGGCAGAGGGAAGGGATCAGAGTGAGTGTTAAATAGTGAGGGAGTGATATGAAACAGCCGGGTGCAATCAGTGTTAACAGCTGTGTGCAATCAGTGCTGAGTGCAATCAGTGCAATGAATGATGGGATATGTAGTTCGGGGTGATGTGCAACAGTGTGTCGTGCGAGAGTCAATGAAATTGGAAAGGGTGACCTCTGATGGCTAGCAGATGGAAGTTCATGGACCGGATTCGTGACACAAGTAACCCTAAGTCAAACCCTAATCCTAAACCTAACCTTATAGTAAGTAGCCTACATGTAGTTAATTAATATTACTCACTACTTAAATGTATAATTACACTGTAACAAGGACACCTTAAAATAAAGTGTAACTGGAAGTTTCTACTTACAAGTTCAGAAATCATAATAATGACATGATGCATACAAAGCAATTTCGGTTGTAGTACAACTGCTGAACAATTTTTTATTACTTTCTCTATTTCTCTCTTTCTCCCGCTCTCAGTAATCTTCATAACATGTACAGCATACATTAGATTAATTGTCTTCAAATATGTCCTAGATGTATGCAGAAGTTTTCAAATGCAAGAGCTTTAAAGCCACCCACATCAACCAAGGCAATTCTTTTATTTGAAGCTCATTTTAAAATAATTGTAATTATGAGGAGGCAGGGTTATGGTTAGGGTGCTGCTCTGCGTTTAACATGCACCTGAGATTTTGCACATTAGACATTCAAGAGAGAAGATCGGGCTTCAGATGTAGCCATCATTGCAGCAGTAAGAGAAGGTGAATCTGTCAATGGTACATCGGAAATTGAAATTGGGAATATCTCCATGGTGACACACACACACACACACACACACAAGTATCCTGACCATGATTCACAATTCACATCCAAGGTTATTCTCACTGGCTGTCTCTAGATCAAGCCAGCTGAGTTAATCTATTATTCATGATTCAGTTCAGAGTCTCAGCAGAATTCGCCAAAACCTGTAGATCATCTGACAGAACAGGAACTGTTCATCCCGGTGGAAGAAAGTGGTCTTTTAGCTCGGCTGTCGTATAATAAGGTGATGACTGGCCATGCGAGGTGTAATCTGAAAAGCCTGAAATGAGCCTGAGATCTAAAAGTGAGAGCAGCATTAAAGAAAGTAGAGAGATGAGTGAGGCAGAAACGCTGATCAGAAGACGGACTGATAAAAATAGAGGCGAGCAGACGGGACTGTGGGAGAAAGAGTGACTCAGAGTCAAAGGGCTATTCAATAAAAGCAGCGCCGATTAGAACTAGAAAACAATGAGCTATTACAGCTATAGTGAGTGGATCTTCATAACATGTACAGCATACATTAGATTAATTGTCTTCAAATATGTCCTAGATGTATGCAGAAGTTTTCAAATGCAAGAGCTTTAAAGCCACCCACATCAACCAAGGCAATTCTTTTATTTGAAAAGCTCATTTTAAAATAATTGTAATTATGAGGAGGCAGGGTTATGGTTAGGGTTTATTAAAAACATCATCAACCTCTTCAGAAATCCAGCTGCACATAATTGAAGAGAGATAAATTGGAGCTGCTGCTCTGCGTTTAACATGCACCTGAGATTTTTGCACATTAGACATTCAAGAGAGAAGATCGGGCTTCAGATGTAGCCATCATTGCAGCAGTAAGAGAAGGTGAATCTGTCAATGGTACATCGGAAATTGAAATTGGGAATATCTCCATGGTGACACACACACACACAAGTATCCTGACCATGATTCACGATTCACATCCAAGGTTATTCTCACTGGCTGTCTCTAGATCAAGCCAGCTGAGTTAATCTATTATTCATGATTCAGTTCAGAGTCTCAGCAGAATTCGCCAAAACCTGTAGATCATCTGACAGAACAAGAACTGTTCATCCCGGTGGAAGAAAGTGGTCTTTTAGCTCGGCTGTCGTATAATAAGGTGATGACTGGCCATGCGAGGTGTAATCTGAAAAGCCTGAAATGAGCCTGAGATCTAAAAGTGAGAGCAGCATTAAAGAAAGTAGAGAGATGAGTGAGGCAGAAACGCTGATCAGAAGATGGACTGATAAAAATAGAGGCGAGCAGACGGGACTGTGGGAGAAAGAGTGACTCAGAGTCAAAGGGCTATTCAATAAAAGCAGCGCCGATTAGAACTAGAAAACAATGAGCTATTACAGCTATAGTGAGTGATTAAAGGACATGTTATTACCACAGCATATGTGTATGTATATGTATACTCTGCAGTAGGTCTCTAGGTCTCTAGGCAAATTTGTTACACTGACTATGTTAAAAGGTCACAACAGATAAGATTTCTTTGATTCCATTGAAGCACATAAAGATGCTTGCGCGAATATCCCCAAAAAGGGAACATAACAAATACTCAAAATTACATAAATGCATATTTATTTCTCTGTTTTTCACCTTTTTGCTCAAAATGTTAATCATATATAATTTGTAATTAGACAAAAATGGAAACAGAATCTTTTTGTCTAGACCAGTGTTTCCCAACCTTTTTTTAGTTCCGACACTCTTTGGAAATTTTAACAAATTTGTGGAACAATACTTGAATTTCTAACTTCGATATGATACCTTGAAAAGTATAGATATTCGGTATATTTACATTTACATTTAGTCATTTAGCAGACGCTTTTATCCAAAGCGACTTACAAATGAGGACAATAAAAGCAGTCAAAACTAACAAAAGAGCAACAATATATAAGTGCAAATGACAAGTCTCGGTTAGCCTAGCGCAGTGCACGTAGCAAGGTGTACATATATACATATATATACACATATATATTATACACACACACACATACACACACACACACACACAAACAAAGAAAAACAAGTAGATAGAATAGAAAAAATAGAAAGCTAGTGTTTGTTTTTTGTTGTTGTTGTTGTTGTTTTTTTAAATAAAGAACAAAAAAATGAAAAAGATAAATAGAGATAAAGTAGAATTATAATATAATAGAAAGTGTTAGAGTTAGAGGGTCAAGTAAAGGTGGAACAGATGTGTTTTTAGTCGTTTCTTGAAGATGGGTAAGGACTCAGCTCCTCGGATTGATTTGGGCAGGTCATTCCAC